AACTGGAGGCCCATTGAAGAGGTGTTAGTGGGGCCAGCAGGGGGTGCCCACCCCGCGGTCCATGTGGGTCCTAATGCCCCAGAATAGTGACGGGGACACTATACTGTAAACAGGCGCCGTCCTTCGGATGAGACGTAAAACCGAGGTCCTGACTCTCTGTGGTCATTAAATATCCCAGGGTGTTTTTCGAAAACATTAGGGGTGTAACCCTGGCGTCCTGGCCAAATTTCCCATTAGCCCATCATGACCTCCTAATAATTCCCATATAAATTGGATTCAATACTCTGTTCACCTCCCCACTGATAGCTGATGTGTGGTGAGCGTTCTGGTGCACTATGGCTGCCGTCGCATCATCCAGGTGGGGCTGCACATTGGTGGTGGTGGAGGGGAGTTCCCATTACCTGTAAAGCTCTTTGAGTGGAGTGTCCAGAAAAGCGCCATATTAAGTTTAAGCAATTATAATTAATTATGTTGGTACCTATTTCTTTAAAAAAATAAAACTATTACAAAAGAGAGTGCATTGAGTTGTCTCTATTACACACTGATGTGTTAACACTCTTGGAATTTAAATTAAAACTCAGAGAATCAACTGAGATCATTAACACTAGAAATGTATCTGTTTTAAGCAGTAAGTGGCTTAGGTAGGATACATTGTCTACATCATGAGGATCAGATTATGTGTGATATATTGATAAAGTGGATCCAGAAATTGCTATGTTATTGAGGACATTGCAACACTTGTCTTAAGCAATGCATCTGAATAATTAAAGGCATTTTATCCTCATAGCACTTATTGAAGCTGCCTTTCCTCTCTTGAATCTTGGGATAATGGATATTAATTATTAGTATTTTGTCATTGGGTAAAATGAAGATCAGAGTTTATGGTTCCTCTAATGAAATATTGCTGGCATTGTCTGCAATTCAGAATGAGGCAACACATTTCTAGTGAAATTTGAAAAGTGAAATTCAATAGAGCAACAAGGTAACTTCATTTGACAAACACAAAATGCCTAAATACATTCTTTGGCAGAATTATTACAGAAAAATACTGTGAATAAGATGTTGGATAACAAAATCTGAACAGAAATCATAAGAAATGTTATCAGGGCTGTTTCACATATAATTAATAAAAATGGGATTTGATGTTCTTTCAAGATACGTTTTATGCCAAATCTTCAGCAATTTGCAGATCCACAGATAAGATACTCATAGAAGACAATCATCCTTAACTGTATGATCTGCCAAGATGATAATTTTTTTCTGTGTATTTCTAATTAAAGCTTTGGCACTTTTTCTGGTGCATTGTTCAGCCCATGTTGAGTGAAAGCGTATTTTCCAGTTCTACTTTCGGACAAAATAACATGTATTGATGTAAATTTACATTTCACTTCAAAATATTATGCTATACAGTATGTATATACTAAAAATGATGAGAAAAATATGAATTACACGGAAGAGTTGGAAAACATTCAATTAACCTACTGCGTACAGTCTAAGAGTTTAATTCTCAACAGAAGAGAATGCTTACAAATATCTCCAGAGTCCTTGTAATGAACTATGTCAAGTGAGTGGAACAGCCTTGACAGATTAAACAGTAGAGAATGAATAGAGGTGGAATTCAGACTTACTATACAGAACATACTGTATATTCCTAAAAAGCAGTTTATGTACATTCTCTTTTACATTGTGTAATTCCTGCTAAGGTTTTAAATTTTTAAATTCACTGTACACTGTAGTGATTTTAAAGATGAGATCTTGAATATATCTGATGTTAAGATGTGGGTCTGAAGGTTGCTGTGTACTCAGTGTTATTCACAGGTTCTGGAGAACACTTTTCCTTCAAACCTTGATGCAATTAGGTGGAGTGTGGTGTCAGACAGATTGAAGCTTAGAGGACACATCACTGCACCAAACCAAGCTAATGTCACTGAAGTTTGAGTAAAATTTTATGAGTTTAAGCACTTCTCAGGATATGAAATTAAGACAAAATCACAGTGTACAAGCACTTAGATAGCTGTAGCATATTGAGAAGAGAATAATATAAAAATAAAAACGACTAGAATGCTTTTGGGAATGTGGAACACACTATTTAATCATGCTGTGGTAGCTGATACCCTGGTTTATTTCAGTCAACTAATTGACTTTAATTTCCTAAATTAGTTAAAATTCCATATGAAGACGTTTTGAATATATTACGTATTGCTCATACTCAAGGTGTGAGCCACTGTTTCAGTTTTAGCTCTGAACACCTGGTTTCCACAGCCCTTCTGAGGATCAGTTTCACTGTGATAAAGTAATGATTCTCTGATATGGGGATCTGAACACTTCTGAGAGCAGGGGAGGGATGTCATTGCTGCAATCTCACTATAAGTCCTGTTATAAGTTTCCTGGAGAAACCTTGAATGACAGCACTAAGGCAGCACGAGCAAATGGACTCCAAGTGTGAACTAATGTCTTGAGAACATTCCTGCAACAAGCAAACTACATGACACAAGACCAGTTCCACATTAAAATGACTGCAACACTAATCTTGGAAACCATTCATCATTGATTTGAATCATAATCTTTGGTAGATGGTTAAGCACAAGGGCCCCACAGCTCAATTAACAACCCACATAATTGATTCCAAATCAGAAAAACAGATGGCTTTATAAATAATCAGTGTATACACAAACACAGACACACACATACATATATAGGACACATTGAATTTCAGTCATCATTTGTACACCACTTCTGTAATGAAGGGGTAGTTAGACAGACCCTGAGTAATAGTCTTAATTGAACTTGCTTATCTAAATTAATATTAGGCATAGTCCTGATTAATGTTTGTAAAACCACTACATGTTTTGGATACTATATCCTTAAAACAAATCATCCATGCAGATTCTGACATATTAAAAATGCCTACAGTATATGTCTATAAAATATTTAAATAAAGGACCCGTGATTTAAATCATTACAATAAATGGACTTATTCCTATCTGTCACAAACTGACAACTTTAACTTGAATAGGTTTTATAAAACATTGTGTTATGATTAATACCAAAACCTTGATGCATAATTTTATGTAGGAAGTTTGTATAACACCAATTGTCAGTCTTTGACATTCACAAGAGATTAATTTCTATTTGGATTTTGACCCCTTGAGAAAAGGTCACTATCCATCTGTTCACATATTTGAAAAGCCATAAAATATGATGTGCTTGAGTAAAATGGGCTTCTGCAAATGCTAGGGTCGGGATTATGAAATGGGCCTGCACCTCTATGCTGAACACCAAGTATCATGGTGTTTCTTAACCATTTTGCACCACATTCCAGCATTTTCACATTGTTTTGTGCAATTATTTTGTTTCCAATTATGTAATCATAACATTTTTTTCTCAATGTTGCTCTGAATAAATTGTGCTTTGATAAGCAGAATGCACTCCTAAATTACAGATAAGGGTCTTATTGTTTTAGAAACAATGCTTAATTTTGTTCCTTTTGTACACCATGTTGGGCTGAAAAACAGACACAAGCACATTCTCCAGGCTACATTTTCAAAAACATAACTCAAATAAATAAACTATACCTATACAATGTATCAGAGTGAAATACCTATACACTGTAAAACATGCATCATTAATAGCACATAATAATACAATTGCCACTGATAAATGCTTTACAAATGGAAATTAACAGTAAGATATTATTTGAATGAAATATATGTAATGATAACCAACATCTACAGTATATAAGGCTCATAGGATATTAATAACAAAACCATAATCCTTACCATGTTATGAATTTACCCCTGACCCTAGGATTATTTCCAGAAGGTAGCCTGTTTCATCTATAATACTCTATAAAATATCATCATTATCAGAGATGGGAGATTCAGCTGTATAGCCAAGATACAAAAAAACCCATAAATTATCTCAGCTTCTCAAAATATTACTCTTATGTTGCAGCCACTGCTGAGCAGTGCCGCAGTGAGAAGACAGGCTGAGACCCAAACACAAGGCTCCCAGAAAGACATCACGATAGTGAGGCAACAACATGGAGCAGAGAGAGAAAGATGCAGGCAGCCTGGAAGTAAGGGAGTGAGAGATACAGTAACTGCGATATACAGTAGCTGGTCTGAAGAGAAAGGCAGAGGGACCAGCAGGAGAGGAGCTGCCTGGAGTGGTAGGCAGCAGGGTCACTGGAGAAAGTCCATCAGGGAGATACAAACAGCAGGGCCAGCTGGATAAGGCAGCGGAGATAGGGTTGCTGGAAGTGCTAGTGAGGGATTTCCAAGGGAGAGGCATGCCTGCTGGATTGGTACTAGCTAACTGTAATGGAAATAAGTTATCTTTCAGAATTGAGTAAAGCAGTTGCCTTTGTCTGTAAAAGCTCAATGTCGGAGCGCCTATTTACCAACCATTCAGTTTAATTAGATGATTGACTGCCTGATTGATGGACAGTTGGTCTCATTAAGTGGCGAACTGATCCCACTTGCACTGGGCTGGTGGAAGGCAAAAGCACTGGACCCCCCTGGCAATGGCAGGAAGTGAGATGCTTCCAGCTTGGGCATGACAATTACAGCAAAAATATCATTTTAAATCATGTTTGTTGTAGAAAAGCAGCATGTTCTGCTATACTGGAAAAACAAAAACATCTCATGGACTATAGATATTTTTTTTCCTGTGGCACAGCCTAAATTTAAATATTTTTTTGTTGATTTTTCAAAGTGTGGAGTGTACACTATTGAACACAACACTGTAAAGACCAAAAACAAATCTGTAAGAAATTGATGTTTTGTAAAATGTGGCTTTAATCCTAACACCTTTCACAAGCAACTACTTTGACATTACCTCTTAATATCAACAGTAATAGTGCACCTGATAATGAATACATTAAAATTCTGCTATTCAAGGGATGTTAGATGTAGACTGTTTCTGTGATAAAAGCAAAAGCACCAAAGAAGAAAGAAAAGTCATTGAGAAAATGATAAAAGGAAAAACCTTTTATTTACCTTAATCATGTAATTTCTTCATTTTTGTCTTCACTGAGTCCACATCATCTTGACGTATTTGTAGACACTGAGGTACTTCTACATGGGATACATATTCTTCCAATTTGATACAGATTCTGGAATATTAAATTAAGATGTTAAGCATGTAAATATTGAAAAAAGTCCCATATCTTAAGCATAAGTTAAGAATCTATTCAGATTTTTAAAATCTTCTTTAAAAATTAAAAACAAGATTTACTGTAGGGTTTGGAGATCATTTTTATTAATAGTAAATTCTTTTATACTCCTCAGAAACATTTTTGGCAGTTGACTAATTACCAGTAGTACTTATGAAACACATGAGGGCCACTTGAAAAATTGTGAAAAACTAAACATAACCTCCTGTTATGGCATCAGCCAGAAGTGTATCACTTATACCACTGGATCTATTAACCACTTCTCAGATACAGAAAAAATAACTAAAGAAAAAAAATCTGCAAAGAGCTCCGTGGCAAAGCATTGCAAAGGGTACTACAGCAAAATAAAATAAATAGATTGACTGATTAATGAAGAATACTTTTCAAAAACTGTATGTTCCTTTGTGTTGTTCAGAACCAGGCTACCTTTCCAGACTGTGTGTGCATATTCAGGATCCAACTTAATTTCGCATTATTGCAGATTGGAGTGATACAATTGGTAGTGTTACATTTAGAATAAAACATAAAACAGATATATAATATGGGAGACTGTGAAGCTGCTTATGAATGAGACTTAGGTGCCTGTGCCTTTTTATTTTGATCCTAAATTAAAACAAAAACTGTTTTGTTATTATTTTTTAAAATATTGTGCTTTTTTATGTGTACATTGTGCTTCTTAGATGGGAAGGAAAAGTACTCTCTTAATTTTTTTTGAGGTCATAAGTGGAAACTATGTATATGTGGATTTAAATCTGAAAAGAGAAGGCACAATGTGTGGTGGGAGTATGGAATATTCTTCTTTCATAAAATGGTTGGACCCTTTTAGTTAGTAACTACCAAATGAACTAAAGGGTCAAATGTTTTTTTGCTTGTATCCTTTCTTATCTTCTTAAGTTCTTATGATGTTTTTCTTTCTTTCTGTTATTCACCATAGAGTGATCTTCTATTTCTTCCTTTGCAGCTTGTACACTGACACAGCTACCCACTATGACCTATTCTTTTCATTATGCCCTGGATTTAATGGGCACTGACACAGATATGTCATTATATAAAGTTATCTTAGTTCAGCTATAATTCCGAGCCTTGCTGTTGACAACAGGGAAAAAAACTGAAGTAAAAGATAATGATGGAGTTGGTGACTAGTGCGTTACGAAAAGAAATATACATGTGCAGTACAGACTAGAAGCAGATTTGTAAATGAAGAAAAATAAAACACTGGGCTATAAGCCAGGTTTCTAAATTGGTGAGTGGCCACACAGAGAATAAGGAGAAATTGTCTCCCAAAACATGAAGTGACTGTTCAGTTACCCATATCTTTCTACTTTCAAACTCTTGTGAGGTGCGTACCTGGAACGTGCTGTAGATATGATGCCAAGAAAAATTAAACAGTTTGTTTATTTAGAAAAATATGTCGACAGAATACCTGGAATATTCAGTGCAGTTAATAAACCACCTGTCATGTTTGTCCTCGCTGTCAAGCTAGCATTAATGCGACAGCCAATTACATCACTGTCCAACCTGTCTCCCAGTGCTGTTTGCCAGAGAAACCAATTGACAAGAGATCCAGACCACCTGGAAACAATTTATAACCATGCTGGTTGTAAGCTGACAGAGCTTGGAGATCTCTCATAGAGTTCGATCTTTGAGCACATTGAGTCTATAGTTCCTGTTTCCTACATGTTGCCATGCTTGGATTTCTGACCTCTGCTGTGTTTTGTACTTAATTCCCATATTTCCCCTTCACTTGTTAACTCTCTTTGTTTACCTGGCTTTGGACCCTGCTTCCTTTTACATTTTTTCTTCTAAATTTGCCCTCGCTATGAACTGTGTGTTACCAAGTTTCCTGGATCTGACCCTCTCTTCACCCTGACTACACCGCTTGGATTCCCCCTCTGAACTTTGGACTCTGTATCTCACCAGTGCCTTTGACCCTTGCCTACTCAACCACATTTTCAGACTGTACAGTGCTTATTTCCCCATTGTCCTCAATATGATAAATGAATCCTTGAGCATAGGTATCGTACCAATGGTCCTCCAAACTGCTGCCATTACTCCTATGGAAAAAAAGCCAAACGTGGCTCTGGACAACCTGAACAATTTTCTCCCCATTTACAACTTGCCCTTTCCTGCAAAAAATCCAGGATGTGCTCTTATAATTCAGTTAAATAACCACCTCATTGCAAATCACTTTTTTAAACCCCTCCAATCTGGACACTGACAACTTCACAGCACAGAAGCTGCCTTGGTCAAAGTCACTAATGATTTCTAATGGCTTCTGATTCTGGTTCTCTTTTTATCTTCATTCTTCTTGATCTCAGTGCTGCTTTCAACACTGTTAACCATGATATCTTACTTTCTCATCTTAAGATTGTCTTTGAAGTTTCTGATATTGCTCTTCAATGGTTCAAGTCTAACCTCATTGATCGCTGTTAATTTTTTCTCTCTTGGTGGATTTAGCTCTGGAATTTGACTCGTTTAGTCTGGTGTTCTTCAGGGCTCAATAATAGTCTCCTTACTTTTCAGCATTTACATGTTTCCACTTGGTCAGCTTTTCAGCTGCGGGTGTCACACTAAACAATTGATGGTAACGGGTGTGCTTGATTCTCTTAGGACTGAAAATCCTAGGAAAAATCGTGTAGTGTGATGTCGGCATTATGGTGTCTTTCTGGACTGTTAATAGACAGTTAATCATTTACCAGAACTTAATTAACTTCAGTAAACCAACGTAAACTTTATGATTGCTTTGATCACTGAATCTGGATCCCTACATCTCAGCAAACATCCCCTTTGCTTTGAAGCTGGAAATGTTGACTAGCTTGGTATAACCCTTTCTTTCAAGATTCTTTTGAGACACATCCATTGTCACCTACAGCTGTAACAATGTATTTTCTAAATCATCAGGGGATTTTGTCAAATTTTGTTAATTTACATCATTCACATTATTTGAATGTTTTTATCAGATTTTCAAACTGCTTAGAACAAGCTTGGGAAGATTTTTTTATCTCATTCACAGAATGTGCCAAATAATTCATACTAATATCACATATGCAGCTTGTTTAACATGACACTAAGAAACTGCATTTTTGCAGTCAATGGAGCAAGACAATAATTTTTATTGGGGAAATCTCAACTATATATTTTATTGTTCCTGCACTTTGTAAAAGTCTCTCATTTTAAAATAATCAAATATTAATATCAAACCTCATTTAATATAATATTTGCAGATTTGCATCACATTTAGATATCCTGTACTGAGTTGTGTCAATTGTTTTATCAACCTTACCAGGTAGAACCTTAAGTGCTACGTCAATACATTTTACTGTAAAACCCATTTGATCTATTTGTTCACTGAATAAATATGGTGATATTATAAATATTTTATTTATAAACATTATTCAAATACTTTCACCTAATAACTAATGAAGAATTACATTTTACTTTACCATTATAACACCTACAGTAATGCCTTAGAATTTGTTGTGTCATTGCAGCCCTTACCTGTACTGATGTTCGTAAGGGAGCGTACTGGGACATTTATTATAGCTGTCATACAATTGTTGCCCATGGCACCAATATTATGCACCTAATATTCAGAGGTGCATAATATTAATACTCAAATTATTTTTAGTGACTCCTATGTGTACTTCCTTCCCTATGTGTACAACTGCTTAAACGTGAGCATTTCAACAGAAATAATACAAGGAGTCTTTTCTTAAATGAAGTTCAGGAGGGATAATGACTAACATATTATTCTCAGACTGTTAGAATATGTCAGTCATCAGTAATGATTTGTGGCAATAGTTGGACTTAAAAAAAATATAGAAAATCCTTTTAATTCCTTCAAGTAGAAATCCAAAACTCACTCAGCTGTTTTAAGTTCTAAATATTATGGACTTTAGCTGTATATATATACACTGTATAACTCTTGCACATACCTTTTCTCACATTTTTTCACATTCATTCTGCCTCAACTCAATATCCTCCTTTGCATTTTGTTATCTCATCTCTCGGCTACTACCCCTTAACCAAGCAGGTTAAACCAGAACATATTATACTTCAAGACTCAATAAAAATTCCCAAAGTATCTGATTCTTGGATGTCGTTATTCCTTGTGAATTACTGTATACTATATGTGCTTCAACATTCTCAAATAAAAGGCAGTTTATTGTGGGCACAGCAGCAGGTGTTTTAGTTACAGTATATAAAAGCATTTTCCGCAACAGTTTTAGTTAATTAAAAAGTGTCTATGTGCACCTTAGGATCTTATGTTGGCTAGATTAATTTACATTAACTCAATAAAATAGGTATATATGAACTTGAAAGACAAATTTTGCAGTAATAAAAAAAGGAAATTCATATCATATTTAGAATATCAGAAGCAAATGAGGGTGAAATTTGTAATCGTCCTTCACTGATCTCCTACTTGAAAGGAAAAGAGATTTATTAAGCTACATATGTTAAAATTGTACTTTAACTTTACATTTCATATGTGGTTAGATGCAAGAGAGGCTTGTGTATTTCACAGATAATTAGAAGTAGGGCATATGAAGCAGAACATATTGTGCTAAAAAGCAATTAAGGAAATGTGAATGCGATATTGAACTGCAAATGAAAATATGGATCACTTGCTGATAATTTGTCTTCCATAACAATGCAAATGACATATTTTTGTGATTAACTGCTTTTTAGTTACGTTTGTGATGCCTCGAGTTTTGACAAAATACCTTTTTGCCATAGTTACAGTTGGTGGTATAACAGACACGATTGTGTTACGTGAAGTCACATTAGCTCACTGCCATGAATATGTCCTACTTGTTTTACTAAGAAAGGTGAGCCTGATTTAGAGGGCATGACGACTGGCAGAAAACATATAGTCTTATTTCCTCTTGCTCCAGAGAGTAAGATGACTCTAATTTCAAATCAATCCCATTTGTTCCATTCATTCAAACAGTGAACTGATATAAAAGGATATTGTTCTCAGGCTGTTCCAGTACATTAGTCATTAGTAATGATTTGTGGCAATAGTTGAATTAAAAAAATGTAGAAAATCCTTTTAATTTCTACAACTATAATATTAATTATCTTTAGCTTCTGGAAATAGGGCTTTTGTTTTGATTTACTGTAATGTACCTTTATTTTAGCCCCAAAACATTGATTCAAGTATGTCATTAATTTCTGCATTTGTTGAAGGAAGACAGAATATCGGCTCCAAAAACAAGGCTGGGTAGCTTGTTCCATACTCCTACAATCTTTTGGATAAAGAAATGCCTCTAGTTCTCAGTTTTTAATGCTTTCCCATGGACTTTCCAGTTTTCCTCTCTGGTTTATGTTTGCTATTCTTTTTATTCGAAAGAAGCCCAGTGCATTGACTATGTAATTGCCTTTGAGTTTATTGAATATTTGTATCAATTCTCCTCATAGCCTTTTTTCTATCCAAGAATAAAAAGATTTGGTTGTATCAGCCTGTCAATATGAGACATTTTTTTACTCCTTTAACAAATCAACTAAATCCTAGAATTACTTCTTAATGGGGAATCTTATCAAAAACCTTCTAAAATCTACTGTACACCACATCATATGCTCTGTATAAATCTCTTACTATCGCTCATTGAAATAACTCTAACAAGTTCTTTAGGCAAGACCAACTTTTCTAAATCCATTCTGACTGCTCTTTTGGATGTTATTTCTAATTTTGTTCTAGTAATTGTTTCCGTTACCATATATGTAAAGGAATTCAGACTTATTGGCCTATAATTAGCTGGGTCAGTTTGTTCACAATTTTTATGGATGGATATATTAGCAATTCTCCAGTTCACGGATACTACATCTGTCTTCAGTTACTGTAAGAAGAGTTTTATAAATGGCTTCTGAATAACATCTCTAGTTTTCTTGACACAATTAACAAGATACCATTGGGCTTGTTAACAAGATACCATGAACCTACAGCACTGGAGATCTGAGCTCAATTCCCAGGGTACTCTCTGTCTGAAATTTGTATGTTCTACCTTCCAGGTGTTCCTGTTTCCTCCCACTGTCCAAAAACATATTGTTAGTTAATTGGATTCTGGGAAAACTGGTCCTGGTGTGAGTGTGTCTGTTTGTATTTGCCTGCCCTGCTTTCTTTAAAGGTGTGTTGTGGAATGTTGCCAGTAGTGAATTCCTGATTTTGATTTTGATTTGGATGCTTCTAATGGATTTTGTGTGAGTCCATTTTCTTGTTCAGGCCACCCCCTTTTTTAGATCTCAAAGGAACAGATCACATCAGACTATCGGGCTTCTGGTGTCAGGCATGCTAACACTGTCATGCGAGGATATACAAGTCGTATGGATGCCTTGTTTCAGTGAAGAAATTCAAATTTCATTTGTCTGCAAAAGTTTAATTTTCCTTTGAGTTTTCTCTCTTTGCCCTCTGTTGTTCTTGTCATGAGTTTTCCTTTTGAAAATTTCTGCCAATGCCCATGGGTTAGCCACGTCTGCTTGGTCATTCTGCTTACAACCTTAGTAGAAAATGTTATACTTGTGATCACCTGACCATTATTGTCAAAGCAATTGCGGTGTATTGTAGCATAAATTCTAAGTGTACCTTTGTAGCCATGGGAAATATTTATTTTGAACAGTGTTGAAAACCGTCTCTTTTAGTGAGATCCTTTAAGGCCAAAATTATTCCAATATCATTAGTTCCTCTATAAGTGACATTTGGGGAATTAAGGAAATAATTGTAAGGACTAAATGGTGACCAGCCCTGTAGTCATTGCTTATGTCATTGCTCCTGTTAAAGAACTTTGTGATTCCAGGCACTGGCAATCATAATCAAGAAGGTGCCAGTGTTTTGAATGCAGATGTTGCCAGGATTTTTCAGGTGTGGATTTTTCAGAAAAAGCATGATATTGGTGATGATAATCCCCTGCTCCTTAAATTCTCCAAGGAGAAGAATGTTACTGAAGTTCACATTTACAACTTTCTTTCCAATAGTTTCATTCAGGAAACTGGCATTTCTTTCAACCTTAGTTTTGAAGTAGACATGTGGAATGAATTTGTCCTGCTTTGTGATTTCCCCAAAACATTGGTCAAGATTGTCATTGAAGTGATTTTGGTATTTGAATCCTAATACGGGATTAAATTAAACATGGATTCACTGCAAATTTGAGAAGAATAGTCATGATTAAAGAAGAATTAACAGAAAATTTCAAGGTGGTTGAGCTGGTGTTTTCATTCTTGACAGCAAATCCAACTCCATGAAATAATGGTACTGGCACCTATTTGTTCTTTGAGTTCAGTGGGTTTCATTCAGGGTATTAATTCTGAAATATGACCTCTGGAGTTCTTGAGCTACAAATGCAGTGAGACATTCTGGATAGCAATTGTCTGGACAGCACAGGGGTCCTGATGGTCCCAAATTTTAATACACTCTTTCATTTTCTTTGACCACAATAAGAGATAATTTACTGCACATTTTCATTAATCCAAGAGTAATGAGGCAGACTATGTTTAGGACATTTTTTCTAATCCTCTTTCAAAAATGATAGTTCACTGTTCACTACTCCTTCAACCAAAGATTCTGATGATCTTATAAAAGTTACCTGTGTGCTAGATCATGACTAGGAGCTTCAGGGTATCACTATCTGCTCCCTCTTCATTTAGATGGTTTCTAGAAGGACTAGAACAATGTACCGGGAATTGGTGGTTCTTGTGAATGACATATTTTATTGTGGGGAAATAACTGAACACCAGCTGCCACATATCTTGTTAGAACCCAACCTTTATGCAATGGCATGAACACCCAAATGATTGCAGTTCTCATTGTGATGCAGCCTTCAGTTGCCAGAGTAGCTGTTTAGATATTCCTGGTGATGTATCATCTTCTGCTTATTCTGCCATTGAGGACTTAGTAGTCAGAGCCATGTTTACTGAGAATGAATAGATACAGGAAATCCTAAAGTTCTTCAGAATAAATAAAACAACTCTAAAACAAAGCAACTCTAGGACTAACAAAGTCCTATCATACTTCCCAAAAGGGCCTGTAATTTTCTGCCTCTTCCATTTTACTATACTGTGAAGGGAATAAGCCTAGGTCTACAAGTATATGTAGCTGGCTAATTTCATTAGGAAATTAACCTATAGGACTGTGATTGCCAAGTGTGTTTACTAATGGTTGTTAAGAAACTGGTTTGGTTTAGAAAATGTAAAGCCATTCTACATACAACTAGAGTGCAAGCAAAATTACAAACAAAATTACCAGGTTCCATGTTTCTACACAGTCTAGAATTTTCTCTAGGGAGATTTTCTGCTACAACAGTGTTTGCTAAACTTTCTATTTTAGTATCATCCATTTACAGTACATGACTGTACCAGAATCATTTTCATCAATATTAATTAGGAAACCCAGTTGTCCTAATTCCGATCCCTGTAACCCAAGAAACAGGACTCTTTGGCCCCATTATCTTAAGTGAAAGGAAAGGAAAGCATCTGCAGTTCATTAATATTTACTGAATGGTATGGCATAATTAACAACATATTCTGTTAATCCTGCTATTTTATGAAAACTGATTATTTGCACGGAAGAAGAATAAATCACTGGTTTTAGATAATTTGCCCATTGTAAGTCCCATCCACCCATTTTCTAACCACATTATCCAATACAGGTTTGTATAAAAGCAACAGGAAAGCAACAGATGCAAGGCAGGATAAACACTGGATTGTACACCAGCCATTATAAATTCCCTTTTTTAATTTAAGTATACGTATTTAAATGCCTAGAAATTCATGAAAATGTACAAGAATATTGTTTGTAATAAACAAAAAAGAATGCACACATACTGGGTTTTAGAAAATACTTCAAACATTCTAAAACTCACTTTCCATATTTTATATCTCTGAGAGACTTACCTTTATTTTTTTAAACTCTTCAAAATATCCTTGACACGCACTTACTTATCAGTCCCCACCCTCTATAAAATAATATGTAAATAAAGAACTTTTATGAATACATAAGAGAACTCAGTTCATGAACTAAACATTAAACAGTTTCTATTTGTTTGGGTGTGTTGATTGGACCTTAAATAGACTGTAACTCTTTAGGTTAAAAATAATGTCAGTAAAGGTATTTCAAATAAGAACATTTTCCAACTGTGTATTAAAGCAGTCAGGGGGGCTCACCTCACTGTAACAGCACATCACATGGTGTGTATTGCGAACATGGAAACAGGGAGATGTCTGGTTTGAATCCTGGCTGAGAAGATGATCTTGGCCAAAAGCTTACAAGGGACTACAGAGAGACCTCGGTGTACACATGAACTGTGGAGGAAAAAAAAAACAGGTGTGTTACTTATCTCATTTAATGAAAAAAAATATTTGGTTTTACAAAAAAGTCTATAAACATTTTCATTGTATAGCACCTTTACTGGCTGAGGCACTCAGGAGGCTTGAAAACATTTGAATGCTAACAGTTCACACTCTTTTCACTGTAGGGGTTACTGTATCCTTAGATAAGGCATGATAAGCAGGGTAAAATATTAAAATACTGAAGGTATTGTCACAAATGGGGGGATGGGGTTACGAAGCTGGTGAAAATCAGGAATTGACAGAGCAGTTTAGTCAACAAGTAAAATAATTATTCATAACCCCCAACTTGTGATTGTGTGATTTCTAGCAATATATCCGGTTGGTGTAATTAGAGGCACGTAAAGTTATTATTCTCTGGCACACCTTTGTTGAGAAGTGTAACAATCCAGGCACACTTGGTTAAACAAATATTTATTACAATGACAAACCAAAAACTACAGTACACACAACAAAACATACAACATACAAGTTACTCAATGTACAGTACTTACAAAAAAGGCATGTCAGAGGCCTAACATTCTGGTCACCCAGAAAACCCTAGACTGCTTTTAAGCATTCAACTCTTATGCCTTCAGAGGCCACATAACAGATAAACTGTTAACTAAATACAAAGCAACCTGCAGTTAAATCTCTCTGCACCCTGGATGCCACAAAATAAATGGGAGCCTATATCCCTATCCATACAACTACATACTAAGTAGGAAAGATGTTTCTAAATGAGGTATCTTTTACCCAGGAAACCCAAGTTCCCTAAAACACAGAATAACACACTCTCTCTATTAAGGTTCAAATACTTAGTTCCAGTCAGGTTTGGTTTGGATGATAATGAAATAGGGGGCTCTCGCCTGCCACAAGCTTCAAGACTCCTCTCTCGTCTCTGCTTCTTCTCTTTCTTCCTTTCCCTCTCTTTGTGCTCTTAATGTGATCTTATATTTTTTGTGTCTGTACTGCTCCTTGAATCATTAATCCACAATTTACCGACTGTACAGTAGGTATACTAAGGTAAATTTTACAATTGCTTCTCTTAAAGGGACCCCCAGAGCTCAGCAAATATCCTCTCTGCTTTGAAGTTAGAAGTGTTTACTCTTCCAAGTGTCACAAACTTTATCTGAAAGCTAAGAGACACTCCACAGTCACCCAAAGCTGTAACAGTATAACAGAAGAATTCCATAAAATAAATAAAAACACAGGTAATTGTACTTAATGTAAGTCACTTTGTGTCAGTCAAGTAGATAATAACATTTTTCTAATTAGTAAGTCTCATATGCCTGAAAAGATCTTTTAGTACAGTATTAAGTCCATATGCATTTGTTACAGTATGTGATTTATGTTATCCATCCATCTCTTTTGCTAACTGCTTCTTCCAATTCAGGGTTGGTGGGAAGCTGGATCCTATCCCAGCAAATAACAGGCTCATGGCAGGGTACTCCTTGGATTAGACACCAGTCCATCCAGGGAAGCCAGACACACACACATTCATACCTAAAGCCAATTTTCTGAGAAGCCAATTAACCTACTGTACCAGTACTGGACTGTACATCTTTGAGCTGTGGGGGAAAACTAGAGAACCCAGAGGAAAATTACACAATCACGAGGAAATTATTTATTTATTATATATATATATTAAATAATGATAATAATAGCAAGGCCCCTCACTATAAACAGCTTAACAAGTAAATTGCATGTACATTATTTATTTAAGTAAATGCACAGAATTTTATTCAGTATTTTTTTCCTTACAGTATCCACAAGATAATTTAACATTATATCACCAAGAGAGAAGAGAGTCATTCCAAGTTGAATGTAGAAAATGTATTAAACCTCCACTCCACTAATTTAATTTTGCTTAAATTGTGCAAGGAAATAGGTTTTATTTAAAACTGCTAATCAAGTAAACACCAAGCATTGATAATCAAAAAATATAATAAAAAAGTGGATGATATTATTTTCTTCCTTCCTTTCCCTCAGAGTCCTGACACATTTTGAAAATTTTGTTATGAAACCACGATCACAGAAGTCAGAGCTAGTCACAGAGAAAAGAGTTCTGCTGAAAAATCAGTTTGAGTAGTCTGGCATAGGATGATGGTTTTCAGCTAGGGTCCACAGGTGATTAAGTCAGTATTGGAAAAACATGGGCTGTAATATCATACAAGCTCACAGAAGGTTGATCCAGAACATGTTATTCAATGCTACTCCTTATTATGCATATATACGTCATCCTTCTTCACCCTGATGTAACCCTGTCTGCATATTCAGTGAAGTTTCTCCATATTTTCCCTCATTTCCACATGTTGTGACTATATGCAAACTACATTCATGCAACTTGGTAATTGGAGTATGTGTGTAATTACATAGTGAATAAAGGAGAAACTAAATCTTATGCATATTCTGGTTGCCTCCTACAGAGCTCTAGTGTAAATCACTAGCCAAATATTTACAGCAACCTTAAACTATTTTATCCCTTTTTATCCCTCTTTGTGTACTTATTTTATAAACTTATTAGATTCTTTTATGTCTGAGTTATCACTGAAATACAGTGTAATGGTTGCTAAAACCGGTGAACACCTTTTAGCTTTATTTGTTTCCCATGTTTGCAGACTCCAAAGGCTTTTTTTCCAATGCATTCTTATTGATTTATGTTTTTTCTCTTCTATTATGTGTTAAGCAAGAGAAGATTTTCTATTTCACATTCAGAATATTTAGAGAACACTAAAGCTTCCACCACTCCTGCACTTTAGCCACAACCTTAATCCATTTTTCTTTAGACTCGTTTCATTTGGAATTTAAGTGCGGCATTGATCGATTTGTAACTGCTCTGGGGAAAGTCTGGCTCAGAAGAAAATGCCATCAACTTCTCCAACCTTTTTCTTTACATAAATTCGTTTTCATTACAAGTTGTGTTAATCTGCTTATTTTCTATTTGTTTTGTTCATTGTCTACAACACAGACTATTTCTTTTCAATGACAGAGAGAATATCAACTAACGTTAAATAGATTGCTTTATTTTTAATTTAACTTACACTTTTAACCGAAGTGAGTTACATCTGTAACCATTCATGGAGCTGAGCATTTTACAGAAACAATCTGAGTGAAGTACCTTGCTCAAGAGTACAACAGAAGCACCTGGGATTGAATCCACAGTATTATGAGTTCAGAATTCAGAGCTCTAACTATCACTCTGTGATAGGATACAAAGTACACAGTTGAAATTATCATGATATAAAAATATGAAAAGACATGCTCTCTGATAATCAATGCATCTTAAAAGTATATAAATACATATGGACTAGTATGAAAAATCATACAGTACGTCAATAATTAAATTCGCTTACATTCCAATCTTTTTGAGAAGTTCCTAGTTACAATTGTTTGTTATACTTTCAAACTCAGTTTTACAACTGAGCTGTAATGTGCACATTGATAAGGTTAAGGTTAGTTTAGAGTGACTGGCACATACTGTATCACAAGTTGAGCTGAAGCCCCAGGCTTCATCCCCATGGTGAAGTTGATCTTCCTGACTATGAGCAACTATGTTTGAAAAAAAAAGTATTTTTTGGTAGTATGTTTGAGAAAAAAGTATTTTTTTTTATTATTTCTACCACCATTGTTAATAATAAAAGCTAACAAAGACAGTTAAATGTCAAATTCTACAAATCTTGGAATTCACTTCCTGATGTTGCCATTTGTTCATGATGTCAGATCTTTTCCTCAGTCTTGTAGTGGAGGTGTAAGAATAAGTGAGGATTTTTTTCAATCGATTGAAGAGATGTTTTGGCACACATTCCCTCCCACACTTCTGGCTCACAGTTGGCTCAGTTTTAGCCCCCTTCTGTTTACTGTATATTAAAGTGCTTCAACCACATGATTCCATATACTCATAAGGCTGGGGAATTGGGGAAGTGTATTCAGACTTGAGAGTAGGAGGCAGTTCATAACCCAAAAGGAACAAGGACAAGGAACCCAGCCATGTTATTGAATCCAATACCCTGGCTTCTTTCAAGAAACAGCTGGAACCTTGAATCTATTCATTACTTCTACCAAATGGGTCAAATGTCCTCCTCTGGCTTGTAACTGTTCTTATGTTTCTTTTGGATATAAGCTACAGAACATATCTATAAAACACAGTTCTTCTTTTATTCTTGGTTATACAGTGTGAACACTGTAAGTCACCCATTCACCCATTTAACTAATTAGTATGAACCTACTAGAGTGTTTTTAGACTGTAGGATGAAAATAGAGCATCCAGAGAAAAACCCACATGGACACGAACATGGGCAGAACATAAAACTTCACACATGTAGCACCCCATGAACTGAATCCAGGGCCCCCGCGGTGCAAGGCAGATATGCTAACAGTTGCACCACTGTGTCGCCCATAACAGTATAATAATAAAATTAATTTAAAAGTGGAATTTAGCTTGGGCACCAGAGTATACATTGTTATTCTTACAAACTGTGCTATGGGATCTTCGGTCATGAAATAGTTAGGACCTTGATTTAAGGTCAGCTTCTAAAGCATGGTATCCCTAGCGACCATACTGAAGGACCTACTGTATGAAAACATGATTAAAAGGAAAGAGATCCACCTACTGATCCACCTGGACCACCTGCAGCAGACTTTTTCAGGTCTTCCATATACATTACAAAAAAATCCACTGTACAATCCATTGTTCCTAACCGAGTAAAAGTATACAACAGTATGGAATTTTCAAGTTAGAGGTTGTGAAATCTCAAAATTCTCAAAATTTCATCTCATGGTAGAATTTGATGGAAGAAAAATAAGAACAGCAGGAGTTTTAATCTATTTTGAGTACCAAAGCCCTATATCTCCTGCTGCCTTAAAAGTAAATTACATCACAAGAAAATATTAAGACTTGATTTGGTTGAACTGTTTTCTACCAAAGCTGTCATGCAAATATCAGTGCAGACCAGGTACAAATTAGTTTCTAGTCC